TACATCAGCTAAAAGGACAATTGCATTTTGATTTGGAGGCTAATTCCTTGAAAATTACTTCTTCATGTCTTTATTGCTATTTTAAATGGCATGGCACCTCTGCAATGCATCATCTTTCTAAATAGATGATGTAATTTCAATTTATAATCTTTTCCTAACACCAAATACTAAAGCATACCTCATTCATTGTAAATATAAAACTCATCCTACTAAGTTTACTGAAACAAAGGCAAAAAAAAGTTTTCTAAAAAAAATTAGTATCAATATAAGTATCAATACTGTGGAAAAAGTATATTAAATGGAACTACTTTCAATGAGTAAGATGCATTTGCATTATTAATATTCCCACCAATTTTTTCTTCAGTATATTTCAGCTTACCATTAGTGTAAATTTAGGATTACAATGCTGTTTGAAATAATAATGGCTAACATGTATGAGAAATTATGGTGAGCTCAGAAAAATATATTAAATGTTGTTTGCTCTATACTGAGCAAATCGCATAATTTGAAAATCAAAATATGCACTAGAGCTATTGAAGTGCTTTCTTTAAAACTTTATTCAGGGATCGGTGGGGCGTTTGCCTTGTATGCAGCCGAATTGAGTTCAATCCTTGGCATCCCATATGGTCACCTGAGCACCGCCAAAAGTATTTCCTGAGCGCAGAGCCAGGAGTAAACTCTGAGCATCACTGAGTGTGACCCAAAAAGCTAAATATAAAAAAATAAACAAAACTTCACCTAAGGGCTAAAAGGACAGTACAGTAGATAACGTGCTTGTCTTGCATGCAGCTGAGCTGGGGTTGATGCCCATCATTCCACATAACCCCCTGCAACTCCCAAGAGGTGATCCCTGAGCATGGAGCCAGAGTGAGTCCTGAGCACTTCCGGATATGGCCGGAAAAACAAGCAAACGAAAAAACTTATTTAAGAGAATGCTCTAAGAGAAGGTAATGGGGCTGAGTACCTGCTTTGCATGTGGATATCTGCAGTTAATTTTCAGCAAACCGTGGTCTAATTCCAGGCACCAAAATGAGAGTACCAACTGGGCACTATTGAGTATACCTTCCTCATAACATAGGGAGAGCAAAAAACAAATGTTCTCAAGAAGGAAATTATAGCAGATACTATTCGCAGATAATCAAATGAAGAAAGCAAAGACTAAAATAATATATAAAATATTCTTTGGTACCTAAAAATCAATAATGCATTTCCATCACCTATTTCCACTAGTCTAAGATTCATATCCAGAAAAGTATAACAGAATTAACTTTTAGTTATAATTGTAGTTTCTGTAGGAATATTAAATTCCTCAATATTTTAATTAGATTGTTCCCATCATTAGGTATGCGCTAATAATTCTAATGATGTGGCATCACTTTTTAATTCTCTCTTTCTGCTGATTCAGGTGTTGGTTGATTAAATTTTAATCTTATCTACTGTTATTCCAGTAAAATTGATATATATAAATCATATTAACTATTTTAAGAATGCAGTTTATACCCTTATGAACAATCTTATAGTTGTACAACCATCGTCTCCATCCATCTCCAGAATAACTTTTTGTTTACAAACTTAAAGTGATATGACCAATAAACACTAGTGTTTCCTGTCTTCCTTCCCCATTGTATCTTATAGCTACTATTAAACTTTTCCTCTTTATGATATTTCCTATTTAAGTATTTTATTTGGAATCATACAATATTGTGTTTCAAGATTCATTCATGCTTTAAAATGTGTCAGAATTGTGGTCTAATTTTATGCTATATTCTAAGACAATTATTTAACTTAATTGCCATTGAACCTGGGTCCACATTTTAAATGTAATGATTAATACTTCTATTATAATTGGTATATGCACATATTCTGCTTTCAATTCTTTTGAGTGTATACCTAGAAATTTGTTGATAATTAGCCTGATAATTCAGTGTTTAATTTTTCTGGGATGGGGGGCTGATTTCCAACAGTGCTCAGGAGGGCCCAGGTCTCCTTTCACTTCTCTGCCAACCAGTCATTGGTTCACTGCAAGGACTCAAGGATGAGGTGTAGGTATTGACTGGCCCCTGATAGCCCAGAGATCACCAGGGTCACCCCAGTCTTGGGGTTCATCTAGGGCTGCACCCGTTGATGTTTAGTTTATGGAGGAAACTCCATACTATTTTCCATACCACCATCACTGTGCAAATGTTCCCAATGCTTCTATTCTTACACCCTGTTCTAAAAGAAGCCAAAATTTTATTTTCTTCTTGATTCACTAGTTACAGCGTATTTGGTTTTTTTGTTTGTTTGTTTGTTTTGCTTTTTGGGTTAGACCTGGCGATGCACAGGGGTTACTCCTGGCTCTGCACTCAGGAATTACTCCTGGTGATGCTCGGGGGACCATATGGGATGCTGGGAATCGAACCCGGGTCAGCCGCGTGCAAGGAAAAAGCCCTACCCGCTGTGTTATTGCTCCAGTCTCAGTGTATTTTTTTAAAGAACTTCTTTGTTTACTATACCTGATAACAGTTTTTGCGTGTGTTTTTGTGTGTAGAATATTTCACTGGATTCCCTGCTAGGTATACTAGTCAGTCAGAATCAACAGCTATCGTTTTAGAATATATGGAACTACTCAACAAATTGTGTCCTTTTAATGAGGACTTTGCTAATTTCTGTACCCACTTGGGGTGGGTAGGTTTACTCTGTTCTGATTTTTAGTATATGTGTATCTAAACAAGCATGTCTTTCCTTTTTATCCTCTCATAGAAAGAATTGGAAAGTAACTCCTTACCTTTCACTGACCAGACCTATTTAATCTGGGTGGGGGAGAAGGACAAGAGAAAACAGCACACATGCATTTATTTTTCATACTATTTTTATTAAGGGTCGGGCAGTTTTTATGTGCTGTCTTTCTGTTACCACCACCCCTGCCCCCCGGGCCACATAGATTTAGTGTCCTTGTTTTTAAAATTTTTTTTTATTCCTTTAGACCTTTGACATTAAAACAGAACTCCTAAATATTGGTTTAATTTCTCATTGTGATAATTTTTCCATAACATATAAAGATCTTGGAGCTTCTTAATCAGTCAGATTTCTGTTATCAATAAGGGAATTGTGTTTTTAGGGTTTAAATCATAATTGGTCTAATAAAATAAACTTTTCTAGGTAAGAGAAAATATCACCTGGAATCAAAAATGGAATGATACAAAAATGGAAACAAAAATTCTCTTTATTATGCAGCAGACATGTGTTAATAGACCTTTTATATTTCTGAATAATTTCCTCCATGTCCCCCTCGCCCCTGCCTTTCTACAAAAGAAACCTAGAAGTTGACAAGACTGAAACAGACATCACTATAACTACAGGGAAATAAATTTAAGGTTCTTAATGATCAATATTTCTTAGCATTTAAGTACATAACAAACATTGGAAATTGACTTTAGGTGAATGAGAATAGACCAGGTAGAGTAGATCTAAAACTTTTCTTCAGTCATTCAGAAAACAGTTGACTTACTACATAAAGATTAGTTCTATTTTGGTCCTTGACAACACCCACTATAAAGTTCCAAACATTCTTATCAAAGTCACCTTTTAAGCAAGGGGACATTTACAGTCTCATATTTGCAAAGGATCACTAGCACTTCCTGCCCTGTTGACTGTGAAGATAGGATGAGGGTAAAGAAGTCAGAAAAGTTTATATATTTATGTTTTAAATATTTGTGAAGACCATGTCATACTCTGGAATAATGTGAGTTTACAGAATTTTATGTATTCTGTTCATGAAATAATTATAAGATTTTTCCCCAAGAGACATTACTTTATATATTCATGTGGCTGTGGTTTAAGTATATCTGCAGAACAAGTGACAAACTGGCCAGCTAATGTCCTGTAAATCCTGAGAGGAGATAATGGACCTAAGTATGTTGGCCACAGGGAGACAGGAAGCATAATTTTAGGTATTTAACATGCCCTACCCACACACACACACAAAACAACATATAGTTAGACATTTTCCATAAAACTAAATTTTACTCAAATGGAAAATGAAAAACCCACATAAATAAGTTAGCAGAATTTATGACAGCTATGTCATCACTAAGAAAGGTAAATGAATAATGCAAATACGGGGCCAGAGATAATACACGGGCTAAAGGCTCTTGCCTTGCACATGGGTGACCCCATGGATTCCAGGTTGGCCAATCACTGTTGTTCTGACATGTTGGGTCCATAGACCCAGGGGGAGAGCTGGTGGTGTCAGTCTCCCAACACCCTCACCCCATCCCGACAGGGAAGTACAGTGCTTAGAGGGAGAATGAGTATGAGGAGGGATATGAAAGACAAAATAGACAAAGACAAGACATGTGCTCCTGAAGCCTTTGCAGGAAGAAGACTCACTTTATTACAGTCAGGCGTAGGCTTATATACTTGAAGAGAAATGGGAGAAAAAAGGATGAACACCTTTCAGGGGTTTCCATGCAAGCCAACAAGCAGTCAAAAAGGGTGTTCTGGTTCTTCCTCTCCCAGGCTGGTGTCAATTAGCTTGCTCAAGGGTCCCTGATGTTTTAGCTTTAGGCATAGTGACAGACACTGCACTCTGCCATCTGAGGAGAGAAGGAGGAGTCATTGCCAGAAAGACAAGGGACCCCTGCCGGGGGCTCAGGGACCCACCCCTGAACCCAGTTGTCCCCATAATTATTCCCTGCAGCACCTCATAAATCTGGAATGATCCCTGAGCACAGCTGCCTGTGTGTCTGAGGCCCCCTACCACAACCAAATGAAGACAGAGTTTAGTGAGAAAATTGGAAACCGAGTGTGAGGAACAATGCATAGTATTGATTTAGAATTTAAATAGGAATATGAAGACTTAAAATAAGAATTATACATATATAATATTAAATTAAAAATTAGAGTGTTTTGGTTAGGGTCCCTTTTAGCTGGCACCCTTCGGGCTCCTTGAATCTGAATGGCTGCATTGTCCAGCTCTGGAAACTTTTCAGCAATGATTTGTTTAACTGAGGCATTTTAAAAATATGGAATGCTTCATGAATTTGATGTTGTCATTGCTCAGGGGCCATGCTAATCTTCTCTGTATTGTTCTAATTTTAGTATATGTGCTGCCGAAGCAAGCACTTAAATTAAGAATTAGAGATCAAAATGCACTGCACCGCACTATCCTACTGTTGTTCATGGATCAGCTCAAGCAGGCACCAGTAACGTCTCACAACAAATTGTGAGACTTGTTGTTACTGTTTTGGCATATTGAATACGCCACGGGGAGCTTGCCAGGATTTGTTGTGTGGGCGAGATACTCCCTGTAGCTTGCCAGGCTCTCTGAGAGGGGTGGAGGAATTGAACCCGGGTTGGCTGCATGCAAGGCAAATGCCCTACCCACTCTGCTATCGCTCCAGCCCATCAAAATGCATATCAATGAAAAAACAAAGTGACAGTTTATATCAATGAAAGACCAAATTACAGTATCTGTAAATGAAAAGCCAAGTTAGAGTAAATATTAATGAAAAACAGTGTATGTTAACAGCTTAGGCTGAAGGTAACAAAAGGAAAGATAAGTCAGTACACAAGGAAACAAGTGAAACTATTTGAAGAGTAAGTATAGAAAGTAGTTTTTGAGATGAAAAATCTAAAAAAATCTCAAAATGCAGGCATATTAAAAAATGCTTAGATTTTATTTTGAAATTTAGAATTTCAAAACCACTGTTTAGGAAGAAGAGATAGTATAGCAAATAAGTTGCTCACCTGACACACTGCCAACCGAGGTTGGAGTCCTAGCATCATACAGTCCCCTGAGCACCACCTTGAATAATCATTGAGCACCGATTCTTACTGATGCCAGGTTTGATCCCCAAAACAAAACAAACCAGAGAGAAGAATTCGAAATAACATAAGCATTTCATTAACTATAATAAAAGAAATAAAAATATGTCTTTAGAAATGACATTAAGAGGAAAAGTATTACTCTAGAAATCTTTAAATTGTATTAAAATGAGGATAAACTAAATATCTGTTAATAGAATAAGTTCACTCTTTAAACAGCATATCTTGAAAAGTATATCCAATGTTTATGACTGAGGCTGAGTCATAGAATATTTATTCAGTTTGGATTACCTCTTGAATTATTTGAAATCGAAAGTTGCTAACTTTTATCCTTAAGTTGCTTGATATCTACTTAAAAAAATTTATCCCTTTAAGATTTACTCATGTGTACACATTTTTTTTTTTTTGCCATTTTTGGCGATGCACAGAGATTACTCCCGGCTCATGCACTCAGAAATTACTCCTGGCGGTGCTCAGGGGATCCTATGGGATGCTGATGCTGGGACTAGAACCCAGGTCTGCTGTGTGCAAGGCAAATGCCCTACCCGCTGTGCTGTTGTTCCAGCCCCCACAATTGTTCTTACTGTTCCCCTGTCATGTCTGCCATATCTCCATCATACAAGATATTTGTCTACTGCATTGGGAATTGGCCAATCAGATGCATTTGGATTTGGTCAATGATGCATGATGTGTTTGTGGTTTAAACATCTGAGTGGTTTAAAGAGTTTCTATTACTTGGCTCAAATGTTCTTGTCCTGGGTTCTACTTCGAGAAAGAAAGAAAATACTCTTTTAAACTTTTAGTGAAGACATGGATTTTAATCATAGTGAATATGTCAGGTTGCTGCTGAACTGGTCCCAAGTTATATCTGCCATGTATTGTGAGAAAAAAAATACGCTCACAGCTATAAATTATTGATGTATAAGATTTATATGTTAATTTAATAATATAACTGATAAAATGTTTATGGAAAAAGTGATTGTGTATGCTATATTATCTCTCATGGGAAGGAAGATATTTTTACTAATACAACAGCCATCACGGCAACAAAGTAGCACCATGGGGTTTGAAAAAGAAAATAGTTTGAAGTCATTTATGAGATGTTAGAAAATGGCTGTGGTTTGCTTTCCTAGATAATTTTCTGGGATAACTTTGTAGCATCAGTGAATTTAATGAGCCGTAACATTAGAAGAAGTTTGAAGAGAAAATGTTTGTAGTGCAAGTTGATTGTTTTTAGCTGAATTTGACAAGACACTACAATAAAAAGATGAGCTTTGAGAGAAACCGTAGCAATGTGTTTTCTAATATATGTGAAAGAGAAGAAGAGGAAAACAAAAATGTATGTCTTCCGAGGATAAAAATACAAGTATAAAGGGTATATTTATCATATAAGTTAACTTTATTCCTGAAGTTAGAAAAGCATAATTACTGTGCAAAATAATTACTAAGTTAATTGCTAAGGGCCATTGATTTGTTTCCAAATATGATGTTTTCTACCATTTTTGGCCATATTCATTTCTAATTTTGTATCTGTAATTTTAAATTGGATTACTATGTGTTGAGGAGAGTTTGCTTAAATTCAAAACTCAGATTCTAATAGGATTCTACCATAATATCTTGAAATTCATATCATTTTTTGGATTAAAAGGAGTTTCAGTGAGCTCATGAGTATTCTCATAAAAATTAAGATGGATTTGTGAATGAAGTTTGAACTGTGGCATATTTTGCTATTTAATCAAAGTTGTTTACTTCTTTCACTCTTTATCATGATTTCTGGTAGGTGGATCTTTTGTCTCTGTTCTAACTCTGGGCTTTTCCATTTACATTTGCTAAGCGAATAGAATGTTAAGAGACGTGTCACAAACCAGACTTGAGAAGATGGCTTAAATTAGCTTCACTGTTTTAACTCTGGGACTCCATGCCAGGCTGTGGGGTGGGTGAGAGCACTCCCTGCCCCACGGGAACCAGCCCCGGCAGCACACCTCCACTACCCAACCACCCCCACGCTCCAGGCCGCTTCCCAGACCACCCAGTCACGGTCACATTATAAGGCACTTCCTTCCCATTTTCCACTATTACTACACCATGATGGGGTTCAGACAGTAGACAACAAATCACAGAGAGAAATATATAAATACATGCCTCTTGGAGAGCCCGGCAAGCTATCGAGAGTATGCCGCCTACAAGGGCAGAGCCTGGCAAGTTCCCTGTGTAGTATTCGATATGCCAAATACAGTAACGACAACAGGTCTCATTCCCCTGACACTGAAATCATCATTGGGAGAAGATGAGTAAGAAGAGGCTGCTAAAATCTCAAGGTTGGAAGGAATAGCGATGTTACTGGTGCCCCTCAAGTAATTTAATGATCAGCGGGATGACAGTGATACAGAGAAACAGTGATTTTTAACTCTAGATTTAAATCATGTGCTCCAAATGACGACTTTAGCACTCATATTCTGTCATAAATCTTACTTGAAATGAACATACTAAGACACATGATACAATAATATACATCCTAATAAGAACACAGTTTAACCACAGCCTTTGTGCAATGCAAGCTAGAATTAAATATTTTTTGTTATATTGAATGGAATTATTTTTCTAGTAATGAACTCACTAAAACTGATTTAACAGACCTGCTTTCTCTTTTTCCTTAACATTATTCCTTCATAAACTACTGTACATTTCAGTCATATAGCTTGCCAATTTGTTCTTTCTCATAAGAATATACATTTGGGGATATTATTTTGTTTACTGTATTTTCAGTGCATGAAATTATAGAAGATATATATATATAAGATATATTCAGTGGAAAAATTAATAAAAGAGCACAAGCATTTTTATGAATGATTACAAAACATAAAAATAGGCTGACCCCAAATTTTAAATAACTGACTTCAAATTCATATGGAAATTAACAAAAGTTAGATAATAAAGCATATAGAGAATTTGAAAATGGCTGAGAAAACTCACGCCAGCAAGCATTTCGGTTTTACCAATAGATGTAATGAACTTGTAAAGAAACATAGAAAACAAATCCAAGTTTACTCTGGAGCATTGTGTGAACTCAAAAAGGCTGTAGGAACAGTGCTCTGTTTCTCCTGCCACCTGAGTTTGGTAGTCTCAGGCCACTTCCCCCACATGGTAATGAGCAAACGAAGCAAAGAAATGAGGGCAGGCTGGCTGGGGTCGGTTGCTTTTTATTCCATTCCCATCTCCATTCTCCTGATTTTGCTCTTCCTTCTTCCTCCCTCACACTACTTCATATTCTTTCTCGATCCCACTTCATTCTCCTCTGGCTTTGAATCTGGATCCCCTAGCCCACTCATACAGTCTCGATAAATCCCCCCGCATGAGGGGTTGGTTCTTACACCTATGTGTGGTCACAATCAACAGGGGTAAAGTTCTCTCCCTCCAGGAGAGCTGCTTCTAGGACAGATTCTCATTCAGCAGACTGACCCACTAGAGTGGAATCTCATGGGTGTGTTTCTCCTCTCCTTGTCCAACAAACATATAAGCATTCATAATATTAATCATTTTGTATGGACACATAAGAGATACATTAAGCTTATAGAATTGCTCTCCTGGGTTCATCTCAATCTCAGATACAGTGCTCAGGCCAGATTAGTCTTCCCTATCCCTAGCAGGGTACTAGTCTCATCGTTACTTTTGGATCATGACAGCATTTGTCCATGATTAAGCTCTAACTTACAGTTAAGAATTGTGGTGCTTTGGCCTGGCCCGTTTCGATGCCAAGGTAACTCACAGCTTGCCCTGGATCCATTCAGTCCTTCGTCAGGACCCTTCTTTTGGGGTGTTAGCAACGAAGGGCAACTGAGGCTTAAGTCAAAAAGCAGATGCCCAGGGTAAATGATATGCAAAGCTAATTAAATCCTAAATTACAAAAGCATAGTATTAACCGTCTTCCTGTGTCCATACAAAAGGACATTGTTTTAAAGTAAACTATTCAAAATATATAAGGAGAGGAGAAAGGCAATATTAGCTTACAATACAAGTTCAGTGTCCTAGAAAGAATCTGACCTTACAAATTAACAGAGTCTGATTAGGGAGAAAAGCTGATTGACTGGTTGGGGAAGGGCGCATAGAGAAGTGGTACAGGTAAACGCAGGAATGGGAGTGACTCAGAGGCGTTGTGATGGGTGTGACTCAATGAACAAAAGCTCCTTGTAGCAAGGGGGAAAGGACAAACCAATGTTATCCTACAGAGCATAGCATGAGTAAGAAACACAAATTATCTTAAGAAATCAAAAAAATGGAGAATTTTTTTTAGGGTGCTG